CCACGGAGAGGCACATCTTCTGGGAACAAGACTGACACTAAGTTAATTTAGAAAAAAATTACACACACACACACATCAATCATGGAGATTTTGAGAACTTATTTTCAAAAATAAAACACAGATCTAGAAACACCTCTGACATTTGCAAACGGCCAAATGGAGCCTCGCCGTGTTCAGAGTGTTCACGTCTCTGTTCCTTCAGCCTTCCGGGCACTTACATGCTAGTTAGAGAAGCACTTCAGCACAAAGCAAGAACCAAGCTCCCACAGTGCCAACACACCTGGGGATGATCACTGGCTCTGATTCCCCTGCACAGCTGGAAAGGAGAGGTTGCTGCTGATCCATCACTGCAGCTGCCTCCAACTCTACCATCTTTTTCTCCCTCCCAGTCATTCCATACAGGCGTGGTCTTCCTTTTCCTTTCACCAAACAGGGCCATGAACTCATCTTTCACTGATGGGAGGCCAGCATTCTTCGAACAGGGTACATACTTGATGCAAAGCCAATACTTACCATCATAGCTGTAGGGGAGTCAATTACCAGAGCCCCAACTTCCCAATATTCTCTTGTCTAAAAATTGATTTGCCTGGGATCATGGCTATGATGGACGGACACCACCCCAGGATGAATGGAAGCTGTCCTCCACCACTTCCCCGTCACAAAGACCCTTCACCCACTTTACAGAAACAATGCATCTTTAGATCTTTCTAAACTGCATGACCCCAGGTTGTAAAGACCTCAGGGTGACCAACAAAGAAACAAATAAAAACGCTAATGCATGTAAAGGAGTGAGGCTTTAGCATCTGGGTTGCAAGGCCTTTTCTAAATCGGGTAATTTCCAATTCTTCATTTCAAACAACCTGAAACATTCAAATATGAAGAGCCCTAAGGTCAAAAGAAATACAAAATATTGGGTTTCAATTTATATATATTTTTGTTACAGAAAGAAAGTATGACAGAGTGATCAATAAGACACTTTCAAGCATAAAAATATATTGGATTGGGATAGAATTCTGTAGGGGAAGGAAAACGAAAATATGAATTTAAGGAGAAAAAAAGGTGTAAAGATTTTAACTGTTTAAGAACTTATTCATGCATTTTTTAAAAATGAATGATACTGGGAATCAACTATAGACCTACTAAAGTATTTTTAATGATGTAAGAATTTAAAAGGTCAAGGTTTATAATATGCTGAAAAATGACATCCTTTGCAACGGTTTAAACTTAAGATGAAAAGTTTTAGCAATCAGCTTAAAAATGTGCCTAGGGTACAGACGTCTACAGGATTTTTTAGGAGCTACAGGAACAAAAAACGTGGAAGAACACTGCTATAGACCAACCACTGGAGCCTTTCCAAGGCAAAATAACTGAAGAGACAAAGAATGAACAATTTCCCACCTACCGAGTTGTGAGCTAGGATGGGCTGGAGATGGGGTGGGGATTAGCATTTGCTCCACCCTCTTCTTGGTCATAAACACATCTGTTGAACCTGGTTCTACAGCCAACAGTTTCTCAGACTGATGACCAGGTTAAATATCTAATCTCAACTGCATTGCTGATGGGGTTAGCCTTTGGCTGATGAGCTTGTATCTTACTCCCTAAGGAGAATTGCTACTTCTTGAGTACTTTTCTTTGTGTTTTCCAGAAAAATTCATGAAGCAATACCATAAAGGCTCACTATTTTGTATTTCTCTTATCATTCGATGACAAATATCACCACTGGGGATGCAATATTGAATGTGTCTATCTGACTGGCATTTCAGGCGTAACATGCATTATGCAAAGAATTGGAGAGTTCCTTACTGTGTAGTTAATATTTTAAGTATGGCCACTGTACTGAGGAGTAATCTCAACAGGCCCATCTATGTACATAAGCCCTCAGATACCATGTTTTTCCTTCTTTTTCTGATTTCGTACTCTCTTCTTCCCTACTGCCCCTTACATCTTGTCAGCCGCTCCTTTGGGAAGCAGAAAGTAGTCTAAATATGATGGATGAGGCCAGCACTTAATTCGGTGTCTACACTGTTTGAAAAATATTGACTTTCCGGTCCTCAAGCTCTCAGAGAGACAGTGGGGCTATTTAGAGTAGACATTAGACCTACTTTAAACCTACTCCCATTTAGTACGAGAAGGTAAAGTCTGAGATAAAAGGTCTTTCTTTAGAGTCAGAAAGTTGGCTGACTCTACCACACATTTACCAAGTATGTCACTCAATTTCTCTGAATCTCAGGTTCCCAAAGTCCTTAAAATGGGGTGCTGAGAATTTGAGACAATATGCAACAAGCACCTAGAAACATACAGCACGTAGTAGGCATTCAATAGTCAACAGTTATGAAGTTAGATGTTTAATGTTCTTTAATGACTGTTTAAAATTAGCCAACAGTTCTCTCTTGGCATTATGTCAGCTGTGGCATGTTTTTCCGTTTCTTTCTAGTCTCTTTTAAAATAAGTGATTTGGAAAATGACTACCTTTCATGTCAAGTATGGAGTCTGTGTGTGTGTGTGTGTGTGTGTGTAAAATGTACCTGCAGTACTAAAACTGGCAAAAGGACACAGAATGAGGACTGCACAAAACTTGAGATTTCACCTACAGCTTTTATAAATATGGCAACATGTCCTGAATACGTTCTAAGCATGCTGTGAAACGTGACTAAAAATAAGCATGGCATCAATGATCGACTCTTTGAAAGGTTATCCAAATTTAATTGGAAAGCTAACACTTTCCCCTCATCGGATTAGCAAAGTTTTGTTTGTTTGTTTGTTTGTTTGTTTAAGGTTACTTAATATTGTAAGGCTGTGGGGAGAGTGGCACTCCCATAATTCTCATGGTAGTCAAAATGAGTATCACCTTTAGACTCTGAAAAGCAATTTGACAATGTATATGAAGGACTCAAAAAGGATTCACATGTCTATTCAGAAAGGCAGGACTATATACCAGCCCAAACAGATTTATGGGTAAGGGTCTTCATACATCACAACTTGTAATAGTAAAAAAACGGAGCAGCTGATGTCCACCATAGAGAACTAGATTATATAGTATAGCCATCCCCTGGAATGGTATGCAGCTATTAAAGACAAGAAAAAATTTAAATAAGATGGGACTGTTATGTGAAAGAAACAAGGTATAAAGCAGTATTTGGCTATGATTCCAAATTTGTATGTGCCACTGTTGATTCTCAAGGGGTAAGAAGAGAAAATTTACAATCAACAATTGGAATTACACAGTGATCAAAATCCATTCCACAGCTTGAAAGGACACAGTGTTAGGACTTGCAACCCACGTCCTCATTTTAAAAAGAAGTGTGGGATGAGTACACTGCTGATTCAGATCCTTCTTATGAATGACAGGGATAGGAAAGCAGATAATAAAGCTAAAAGTTCTATCTGCAACTGACATTCGGCCTCTTTAAACGTTCAACTTAATGAAGCTTTTGGGTGACTTTTATACCACATGCATCAATGCTCTCTGCCTAGGTAAGAAGTTTTGGCAATGTGCAGTGATGAGAGAAGATCGGAAAAGGTGAGGATTCAAAACCTTCCAATACACACAATTTTGCACAGCAGAAGAGGAAATGAAACAGTGTGAATATGAACACACACACACATACACACACACACACAGATTCAGACCTGCATATACATAGTTAAAGCAAGGAACACTTTCCCACCCCACTGCAAGCAGAAATGCCACAACACACCACCTGTCCTTCCTGGGTTCATCTGCACTTCATTACTAGTTTGAAAACTCCTAGTTTATTCCCACCACTACCAAGTCCAACCAAACAAGGCTAGAAAGCATGGCCAAGATTGCTTTCATGAACTTTCTTGCATTTATTTCTCACATCAGTACTTCAAATGTCTCATCTAACCCCACAGATAAGAAACAGAATAAAAATGCCTTTGGACATTTACACATCTCATGTTACACACTCTTGTACTCCAGAAAAGGAGTAACCCAAATCCATGTGACTTGAAATGACATCTTTCTGCTCAGTGCTCTTCTTTCTAACTTGGCCTGTGTGACCACAGTTCTATCTGCTCGCCTGCCAACCTGGGCCCAAGTGCTTTCCAGCAGCCCCACGGCAGAGCATGTTTCCGAAAACAGTCTAAAATTACATGAAGCCCAAATCAACTGAAGTTATTGTGAAAACACAAGACAAGACACACCTAAATTGCCACCTTACATGTGATGATGCAAACTGAAAGGGGTCTACTTGCTTGACAGTATGCACTTGTTTGCAGATGTCACACTGCAGAGGGAACAGCTGGGGGATGTTGGTTGATTTCTGGTGGTCAGTTTCAGGAAATACAAGCATTTCTTAGTTTCGAGCTCAGGTTCCCAATCAATATAGGTTCTGGAGACTTAAATTTTTTCCAGGCTCGAAATGTGCTAAGCTAATAATTAACCTTAAGCATACCATCACTTCTGCTGAAAACATTTTCTACACTCAGCCCCAAATTACTTTCAGTTCAGTTAAACAAAACAGACAAGCTGTAATAAAAGGTCTCTGAGAAATGTGATCCCTTTCATTGGTCACCCAGGAGCTTTTCCTCTTAAATCTGCTGCTTCTTGGGGGGGGGGGGGGGGGGAGGGGAAGGAGAGCATCCAAAATACAGATGCCACCCAAAGCACAATGATTTTGTAAGAAAGTTGCCCAAGATAACTCTTCAGGGTTTCCCAGGTTGAGTAATTCTTGCAGGCGGGTGAGGAGGGACAGCTCGCCTCCAAAATTACTATCTGCAGAGGTTTCCCCAATGTTGATTTTTTTTTTTAAGGCGTCCTTTTTAATTACACTGCAAGGGCTCTGATTTTCACATCTCCAGCTGCTGCTGAGAGCAACGCGGCAGGGCTGCGGCAGCCGCTCCGGCCAACTCCAGCGCCGGGGCGGGCAGCCCACTCCCCACCCGGTCCCACCCTCCCCAGCACACGCGCGCACATCCGCGCCGAGACTGCGGTCCGCGCCGGTCTGCCCTGAGCTGGCGGCCGGGCCGGGACTCACCGCTGTCCAGCCGCGCGATCTGGGGCAGCCGGTAAGTGCTGACCAGCAGGTCGAGCGGAACGGCCACCGAGCTCCACTTCACATCCTTGAGGCTGCAGCCCAGCGAGGGCGCCGGGTCCATCTTCCCCGCCTCCTCCTGCCCCGCGCTCCCGCCGCCGCCGCCGCCGGCACCACCCGCGCCTCGGCGGCCGCGACTGCTCGCGCTCGCGGGCTGGGGCGCGCGGGAGGCGCCGGGCACTCCGGCCGCGGGCAGCCCGGGGGCACGGCGGCTGAGGCGGCCGGGAAGGAGGGGGCCCGCGCCCGGCTCAGCGACCAATGCGGGGCATGGCCAGGGAGCCCCGCGTGCCCTCAAGCCCGGAGAGGACTCGCAGCAGCCCCGCGGCTGCGGGCGGCGGCGGCCGGGGTGGCTGCGGCGGCTCCCGCTCCGCCTCCTTCTCTGGCCCCGGGTCTGCAGCTGCGGCGGCCGCCCGCTCGCCTCCTCCTCCTCTTACCCCTCCTTCCCTCCGCCTCGAGCGTGTGAGGAGGAGCCGCGGGTCTGAGAAACGCCATAGCAGCGCTCCCAGCACTGACCAACAAGGTGCGAGCAACGCCTGCGCAGCTCGGGGAGACACCGCCTCCGCCTCCGCCTCCGCCTCCCCGGCACCGCCCGCTCCTCCTCCCGCTCGGCCTCCGCCTCCCGCGGCCCGGCGGCCTCGGCTGGGCGTCAGGCGCCCGGCGGCGGCCGCCGACGCCTGCGGCTCGGCGTGCGCTGCAAGCTTTAGCTCTCGCTCCCCCGTCCGACCGCTCCCGCGCCCTGCAGCCTCCCGGGCGTCACTGCGCGCCCGGACTCCTTCCCAGCCCACGGCCCATCCCGGAGCCCAGCAGGAACGGAGCGAGCTAGGGAATCTTTCTCCCAGTCGTGGCGTCGGGCACGGTCCCTTGCTAGTCCCCGCCCTGCCGCTGGAGTTGCTCATACGGGCCACAAAAGGGACCTCTTTGGTGTTCACCTCTTGAGAGTGTCACAGACAGACCAGCAGGGAAAAGGCAGGCGTGGAGCACTGCTTAGCGTTTCTCCCCCAACCCCACAACTCTACCAATGGAGCTGGAAGTTCTTCCTACCAGTCTAGACTTTGCTAGGCAGCCCGGAAAATGCCGAAGCACCGAGATGGAGAGAGGTGATGATGAGTGATCAGCGCCCACAAAGGGGAAGGTGACCGTTCGGTTCAGTACCTTCGTTGTACGAATGAGATGCTGGAGACCGTGGGGTGTGAGGTCACCAACCCCCATAAACACGCCAAGGGAAAGAGCAGACTAGGTTACCTGGAGCCTCCCGGGGCCAGCTGTTTTCACATGCTTTTCTCAATTCTCTTCCAGTCTTTAAGGTTGGGATAATTCCCTTTTTCTAGATACGCATACCAAGACGTTAGGTAGTTTGGCCAGATTACACAGCTTGTACACAGCAGTGCTAGGATTCAAATCCAGTTTACTTTCCATGATAAATCGTTGTTTCCCCCAGTATTGCGCGTAGCCTGCTCACTGCGGACAGTGCTCGGAAGGTCAAGGTGGCTGTAGAGTTCCTCTTTATCTAAGCAGATCCTGACCTTTGTGTGCTAATCTTTTTTTTAGCATTATTTTACACTAGTAGAGGTGAGTGGGTGCCAGGTGAAAGGGTTGTGTATCAACTCTTTTGTTTTTCAACAGTATTCAGTGTTTAGTGCATAAGGCAGAACAAGCACCTGCTTTGCCCAACCAAGGGGACTTGAAAGCACCCCGCTGCCTTTCAGTGGGCTGACTTAGGTCTGTGCCAGTGAACAAACCACTCCATTAGCAACTGAAGAAAAATACGGAGATTCTTCTACACCCACCTTCCTTGTCTTCTCACTTTGAAGCATTGGCCACAATTTTCACAAAATTTTTTGCCTGAAAGGTTTGACCTCTATATCATGCACATCAATTTTTTGAAAAAGTCTTGGGGAAAAGTGAGAAATATTTTAATATATTATTTTACTCAGAATCACAGGCCCATTAAAGTTCTAAGATTTTGCTCACGTAAAGAAGAATTTTGAAAAACCATAAGTACCTAGGGGTGCCTGGCTGACTCAGAGGGTAGAGCTTGCCATTCTTGATGTAGGTGTTCATGAGTTCAGCCCCACATTGGGTGGAGAGTTTACTTAATAATAACAACAAAAAAACCTAAGGAGCTAAGTGCCAGCTAATTTTTTTCTATCTAAATTATTGTTTTAAAATTTATTTTTTAAGTTTTTATTTTAATCCCAGTTGGTTAACATACAGTGCAATATTAGTTTCAGGTGTAAAATACAGTGATTCAGCAATTCCATACATCACCCTGTACTCATCATGATCTAAATAATTATTTTTGGAAATAAAGTTCAGACTCCAAAAATGACATAAGAAGCATCTAAGAATGGGCAGGGTGGAGGTCCTTCAACTAGGTAGATCCTGAAACCTTATATGATAGAATGATTTCTTAAAAAAAATAATTTTCTGCTGTTATGATATCCTCTTTAAAAGCTTCAGGGAACAAAATTCCTATAATTCCCTTGCATGCAAGGATTGGTGACTTATGACCTAAGGACAAGATAAAAAGTAAAAAGATTAATGCAGTCAACTTTTTTTTAATCAATAAAGAACTTAGATTTGCTCTTATTGCTGACCTTGCAGAAAAGGTTTCATTTTAATCTTGAGTATTAAAGGGAAGACACTTTAATGAGCTACAAATTCTTATGTGAGTCTTCATGTCCTAGGAGAATGCTTACAGAAAGATCTTATTTGTGATATGGAGAGAGTTTGGGTTAAGCTGTAAGGAAAATCATTTAAGAAAGGTAATTTTTCTGTCTAGCTGAACTGCACTTCCAAACATGGTACGAGGAATTATGTTTCTTAAGATTGTTGGACCAATGCAAACCATGTAGATAAAGGCATAACAACTGGGTACAGGGACAAAACTTCTAGGATTCTGTAGTTTATTAAAAAGGGAGAATCCAAGAAAAGTTTTCTATAAAGCAAAATTCCATGTATCAGTCCCTTGTTTCCTACTAGGTACCTTGTAAAATTGAGATTTGTGAGAGGCAACACATTATGGTGATTAAAAATATCAACTCCAGAGCCTGATGGCATGAATATGATTAGTGCCTCTGTTCTTATGTGGGATCTTGGGCAACTTGCTACTTCCTCCTCTGAAAAATGAGGGTAATCGCTACAGATTTGAATGTTTGTGTCCCCATCCCCCGAATTCTTTTTTTTTATTCTTATGTTAATCCCCATACATTACATCATTAGTTTTAGATGAAGTGTTCCATGATTCATTGTTTGTGCATAACACCCAGTGCTCCATGCAGAATGTGCCCTCCTCAATACCCACCACCAGGCTAACCCATCCTCCCACCCCCCTCCCCTCTAGAACCCTGTTTGTTTTTCAGAGTCCTTTGTCTCTCATGGTTCGTCTACCCTCCGATTTCCCCCGCTTCATTTTTCCCCTCCCGCTACCTTCTTCTTCTTCTTTTTTTTTTCTTAACATATATTGCATTATTTGTTTCAGAGGTACAGATCTGAGATTCAACAGTCTCGCACAATTCACAGCGCTTACTAGAGCACATACCCTCCCCAATGTCTATCACCCAGTCACCCCATCCCTCCCACCCCACCCCCCACTCCAACAACATTCAGTTTGTTTCCTGGGATTAAGAATTCCTCATATCAGTGAGATCATATGATACATGTCTTTCTCTGTTTGACTTATTTCGCTCAACATAATACCCTCCAGTTCCATCCATGTCGTTGCAAATGGCAAGATCTCATTCCTTTTGATGGCTGCATAATATTCCATTGTATATATATACCACATCTTCTTTATCCATTCATCTGTCAATGGACATCTTGGCTCTTTCCACAGTTTGGCTATTGTGGACATTGCTGCTATAAACATCGGGGTGCATGTACCCCTCCCATCCCCCGAATTCTTATGTTAAAACCTAATCCCCAAAGTGGTGGTATTTGGAGGCGGGGCCTTTGGGAGGGGACTAGGGGTATGAACCAGGAAGCGGCTCTCTTTAGACGTGGAATCTGCCAGCACCTTGATCTTAAGACTTTGCAGCCTCCAGAACCACGAGAAATAAATTTTTATTGCTTTTAAGCCACCCAGTCTGTGGTATTCTTTTATAGCAGCTTGAATAGGATAAGACAATAATAATAGTTGTTGTCTTATCGGGTTGATATGAAAATTTAATCATTTAATATATGTGGAGCATTTAGAATAGTACCTGACACATAGGAACTGCTATGGAAGTACCAACTGTTATTAATAAAAGAAGTATTGGCTTTGAATGGGGCAAATTTTAGAGAAAAGATGAAGAGACAAATGGAGCTGGGAAGTAATGATTAGATTTTGGAAGAACAGTTTGTATTAACAAGGAGTAGAGGAACATTCCTCAAATGGGAAACCCGGGCGCCTGCTCCCAGCTGTGAGACCTCACTCCCCAGATCTAGAGTCTGTGGAGTTAACTTCTTCCACAGCGAGCCAGCCCTGCTACATAGCAGATCCAGACAGTGACCCTGATGGCTCTTCAGATGCTGATCTAAGGATGTTGATAAACCCAAGGGTGAATCAGGCATATAGTTACTATAGGACTCATATGAGGGATGCTTCACAGCTTCCCAACTGTGAAACTATTGTTTATACACACATAACTTGTTAACTGCCTGTATTATCAGCTTTGAAAGATAAAAATATTACATTTTGGTTTTCCTCATATCAGCGCGTCCTGGGTCACATAATAGGCTAGCAGTCAAGTGTGATAGCAAAGTTCACAGCCCCGGTGGTTTTCTAGGTCTCTAAACTCTTTTCCCTTTCAGTTAATTTCCACACCATTGCCAGAGTTGACTTAAAAGTTACTCCCTGACTAAAACCTTGTACGGTGTCTGTATCCTCCTTGTCTGTGGAATATAATATAAAGCCTTCTGCATGATATAAGAAGTTCTTCCCGTATGTGACTGAGTCTGCCTCCCCAGCCTCATTTCGGTTGACCACCTTCTGACACCCTAGGATCTAGCAGCAGTATCTTCCTGGAGTTCCCCAAAGGTGCCATGCTAATGCACACCCTTGAAGACGTCGTCCTGTCAGCATGGAATGCCTTTCTCCCTTTCTCTTCCTGTGAAACATCTATTCCAACTCCGTCTACAAGTAGTTCCCCCTTATCCACGGTTTTGCTTACCCTGGTTTCAGTATCCCGGTTAACCGCAGTCTGGAAGCAGATGATCCTCCTTCCGACCCGTGGCTGGAATGTCAGTCGCAGCCTGTCGCTGTGTCTCAAGCCCGCGTCACTCACCTCACTTCATCTCTTTATGCAGGCATTTTACCGTCTCACATCTTCACAAGAAGCAAGGTGAGTAGAGTACAATAAGCAAGGTGAGTACAATACTTTGAGAGAGACTACATTTACATAGCTTATTACAGTACGTTTTTATAATTGTTCTATTTTATTATAGTTATTGTTGTTACTCTCTTACGGTGCCTAATTTATAAATTAGACTTTATTATAGGTGTGTACGTATAGGAAAAAACATTATT